TTAACACAGCCAGTTATAAACTGTTTTAAGAACTTATAGGGGGAAAGGTGACATAGATGAATTTGGATTTGTTCAGATTTTGGGTGTGCATAATTCAGGGGTTAGCTAAAGTTGCTGTATTACCAGTGATTTCAATTAAGAATGTTTTATTTCAACAAAATAATCATAGCCTAAGGAAAAGGAGGCTAAAAGATGTGTGTGTGTGTGTGTGTGTGTGTGTGTGTGTGTGTGTGTGTGTGTTCTGTATGTATGGTGTGGCCACACACATGTATCAAGTGTGATTTGAATGTGTGAATCCTAACAAAAGGACCTACTTAAATTGCTTGGGATATAGTAAAAAAAAAAGACATTAGGTCAGTGTCTTAACTGGAAGGGTTTTTGATTTGTGCCTCCCATGGCTGTCCCTCCAAGTATGTAGGCTTAAAATAGCCAAAGTCAGCATGGTCTGAGAGCCAAAGGAATCTATATGGATGGTTCAATAGTCTTTAGCAGAAGAGAAGAGACAGAAGTCCTCCTAAATTTTGTGGTTAAAAAAAGAAATCTAGAGAATTGAGGTTAATGTAAGATTTGAGAAAAGCTATTGAGAAAAAGCCTCAGGGAGCTGCAGTCCTGTTAGGCCCCACCTAGAAAGGTGTCCGTGGAGATGCAAATGAGACCATGTCAGCTAAGGAAAGCTTTACGGTTTGGATTATAAAAAGACTACTCACAAAGTTGTGCTCTGGCCTCCATAGCTTCACTGTAACACATATTTGACACCACTCTCCCCCCCCCCCCCCAGTACACACACACTAAGAGAATATCAATTGGTTATCCAATAACAAATGGGCAGCACTGAAAACATACATAAAATTACATTATACAGACTCAGCAGGTTACATTCAGTGGTGTGTGTCTGTGTGTGTGTGTGTGTGTGTGTGTGTGTGTGTGTAAAACGATGAAAAATGAGGAAATGAATTTGAAACACAACAGGAGGGTTTGGACAGAAGAAAGGGGAGAGAGAATGATGTAATTACATTATAATCTCAAAAATAAAAGAAGTAAAAACATAAAATATTTGAAAATACCCTAAGTTTCTCTATCTCTGTCTCTGTCTTTCCTCTCCTTCCTTTTTCTTTCTCTCCCTCATATTTATCTTTAAAATGATAGAGTTGATTAATGCAACAAATTGAGCACTTGTTTTGAGTGGGGGAGAGCAGCAGAACTGAGAAATTAGCAGAGGAGTTGGGCAGAGGGGAACTGACAACATCCGCTAAGTACATTTTATTATATGAATAATGGCCAAGTTACAATGGCTATATCTGAGTTGTGAATGAATGGCTATGACTCATTATCTAAATGGATTCTTGAACATACACTTTAAAGTTATTACACAGGCATTGTTGTCTTTGAAACTGCCCCCCCTAGGGAACGCTGTACTCTCTCTAGTTGTACCATTATTTAGAATTTGCTAGATATATTCCTTCCCTTCAGGTCTGGTTTTATTATTACAGGTATTGGTTGTTCACTGGGTGAGTATTGGATTCCTATTTGTCTCCATGGTAATACAAATGATATAAGGACAAGGACAGTGGGTGTTTCACTCACCATAGTTCCTCAAGGCCCTGTTCCTGAGCCCTGCATGAGTACAATAAATTCACTCATCCATTGTGCATCCACTTCTCAGAAACTGGGTGGAGAATAACCATCTTGGCAAGAGGAGAAGATATTCTAAGGGGAGGGTCTTTGCCCCTCCCTTTGGCTATCAAACCTTGAAACAATGGCCCCTAGTGTATTGGGATTTTACAGAGGGAGTTTCATGCTAAGAGAAGGAAAAGACCTGGTACTGGCCAGAGAAGGAACTTGACTCTGAGGAAAAAATATTTTATACAGTTCTCTGTCAGATCACCTTTCAAGAGAGAATGAAGCCAAGACACGGATGAGTCAGTCATGGCTGATGCCATACAACAGCCAGGATTACTCTATTTTACATACCTCTTGCTTTCCATTTAATTCTAAACCTCATGTCAGAGAATTGGAAAGATGGACTCGGCAAGCCACTGGACTTCTTTGTTCCTCTTCCCAATGTGGCATTATCAAATAAACCTTCATTCTCTGCTTTTCACCCTTGATTTGTCTCTTGAATTGGCTATAGAGGAAAATAATAGCTTGCTTGTTAGGGCCCACAGGACACAGGTTCCTCTGCAGTCTACCATCTACTGTTAGAGCCCCAGGACCCAGACTCTGCATTCTACCAGCTCCTGTTCTTAGATGCTGGTTTTGTTTGTTTTATTTTTTGTGGGTTTTTTTTTTTTTTTTTTTTGGCAGAACTTGTATGAAAATCACCACACCTAGCTACCTGGTCCTCTAAAAAGTGCTGACTTAATTTAAGATTTAATTCTGCATCCTAACATTCTTATGGGAGACCAATATAACAAATGCCCCCAGAATATCATTTTTCACAATGTTTACAAAATATTTGTAAAGCATCTATTTCCTGCAGTTAAGGTTCGTATTGCAAGATTTTTTTTAGGAAAAGACAAAAAATAGTCATCCAAATAAATATCTGTGGTTTCTACTTTTTCTTAGCTTCCACAACTATAGGCCAAAGTTGAGCTCCTTAGAAATCAAATTAGTGTATGCTTGGCATTCACTCATCTGTTTTTCATCAATCAAATCAATTTTTATTATAGCTTTAATTATATTAGGTATAAATGTTTAAATAATTTAAGACACTTTCAACTTATTATTGAAATAACAGTGTCATTAAATATTAGATGATTTCCAGTGTAAAATGTTTTAATAATTTTGACAAATTGATACTTTTTGAAACTCCAATTTTCAAAATATCTTGAGTTATTAAGTGTATTTCCCTGAAGACACTTGAGAACGTCAACCAACTTTAATTCTGGTATGTACAATGTAACATTTTATAAGTAAGATTACAAACGATATAGCAGCATTCAGGGAGTTAGTATTACACAAGGCATGGCATCTTAGTGGTTTAAAACAATGACCTTCCTTCCTATATCAAAATCCAGTGGGCTGGCCATCTGGGCTGGGTTCAGCTGAGCAGTTTCTGGTCTCATTCATGCCTTTTCACGCTACCAGCTTTTTGGGTGTGGCCAGATGGTCAAAGAGGGTCTCACACTCTGCCACTAGATATTATTCAACTGAGGGTCTCTCTCCTAGATATCCGGGGTTTCTTTGAAGAAACACTGGTTTGGTTCTAAATGCAGCCAGGTAAACAACCCTAATGCTGAAGTGTGTGTCAGTGCCATGCTCAAAACACTTTGCTAACAGCCTATTGGTCAAAGCAAATCACATGCTCAGGCTCATTAATGCTGGTAGACTTTATTAAGTGGGAGATGTTGTGGTCATAATTACTACAGGGTGTAGTAAGTTCATCAAAACAACCTTCCTTGCTTCATGTGCTACTGCGGTCACTGCCCTTGACCAGACAAAACAACCTCGGAATAGCAGTTACAGTTTATTACAGTTTTCTAGGATTTTGGTTTAGCATTGTCTGGTGGCAAAGAAAGAATTTCCTTCTTTTTCAACATAAGAAAATAAGGTAAGGCTCAGACACTGAAATATGTGAAAATCAATATTTCACTAGATCAGTCGTGGTTCCCACATTCAGAGCAAAAAAAATAAAAGTGAAGAAAAATATCTTCATAAAGTAAGTATGGAGAGTGTCTACCTATGAAAATATAGCAAATAATGACAGTAATATTGACATTTCTCAACTTTTCATGCAGAGACTAGAAACATCAAAAGAGCACAAAACACACTTTATGGTGGGAAGTTAAAGATGTTAATGATAATTATAGCTTATTTATAATTTGAACTCAAAAAGTCCAATGGAATAAACATGGTTTCAAAAATGAACATTGTGTTCTATGGTTCAGTAAAGCATCATACTCTGATACTGTTTAAAACCAATTTATTAATTATCAACTACTCTAAAAAAGAAATGTATATTCAAAGACAGGCTTGATCTTCTACTTAGAAGCTTGTAATTAGAGTGCATCTGAAAGCAATTGGAATAGGTGTCAAAAGTTTATCCCCAAACTATCTTGCTGCCTTCCCAGTACACTGGTGGTTCATTCACATCCAGTGGCAATCATTCCTGTACCTCAACATCCCCTCCTTCTTTTCTAAGCAGGTACAATCTATTGGGAGATCCTGTGAAATATGACTCTATTGCAGTTTAATAAGGATCTGGATAAACAATTAGGCCAAACAAATGTTTATTCAGGGAGAAATAACTCACATGGACAGGTGAACACCAGCAGGTTCCTGCTTTCAGGAATGCCTCCAGACGTCCTCCTTTCCCCGTGGTGTGGCTTGCAAGAGAGCATTCCCCTGCTCCTTCTCAGACCTAGTTCCCCAGGTCACTTCTGCCACTGGCTCCACCTCCCAATGGGCGTGGTCAGTGCCACAGAAGGAGACATAAGACACCCAAATGAACATGTGTCCTCCTTGGGTCTGGCCACAAAACTTGTCTTCTATGGAAACTGCTGCTAGCACTTGGACTGGTTTTCTAGAAGCTGGCTCTCCATATCCCAGATAAGTGTAGCTAGGTATCACACTTTCACAAGATGGCAGGCCTTCACAAGAGAGAGGAAGACCAATTAGGATGAGATCAATCAGGAGAGGAAGGTGCGAAATCGGGATTGGGAGAGAAGTAGGAATGGAGAAGGAAATTAGAAAGGAAGCCAGGAGGTGAGAGGTGCTGGTACCCAGTGTCCTGTCCCTTCTGCTACTCTCTTGCTGACCCACTGTGAGAAGTTCTTTCATATATTATCTACATTCTGTCAAGAACAAGTCCCAGATTTGGAGGCTGGTATGTGAAAGAATAATTTGCCTTTACTTGAAAGATACTTTTTGCAGTAGTCTTCTTATTTATAACTTCAGAATATTTGAAAGAAGATAAAGGAGCAGGAAGTTTGCATCCTGGATCTTATCAGCCTTGTTTGACATCATCCTTGCTAAGGGGCCATGCCAATCTTCTCTGTAAAAAATATTTGGAGCATTTCATGAATTTGAGTTTCATCCTTGAACAGGGTCCATTCTAATCTTCTCTGTATCATTCCAATTTTAGTATATGTGCTGCCAAAGTAAGCATAGGAAGGACTAACAGTTCTGGACCCTTCTCCAGTAATATAAAACCATATGGAAAAACATAGATGAACAGAAATTCATCTAGCCAATAAGAAGCCTAATCATCGGCCAACAGTTTTATAATCATTATAGTGTCTGTGTGCTTATTTAGGGCTGAAAAGGGTATCAGGACCTGTCAGGACAAGAAACACTCTAGCAATTGAGGGAAACATGAGAAGGAAAATGGAAGGAAGAACAACACAACAAAAAAGGATGATTTTACCCTTTATCGGGTCATGGTAAATATGACCTTTAAAACATACTGTACATGGTTTTTAAACTATTTATAAAACTCAAATAGTCTAAACATGATATTATTCCCTATGTGTAGAGTAGGAATACTAAGTACTTACCCCAGTGTTATTATCATAGTTAGGAATGGGCAAGGTAAGAGCAGAGTCAAGTGTCTAGACTCCCTCAAGTCAGAGCATCAGCCATCATGCTTTCTTCCCTCACACTGAGAAGGGTTTCTTTTATTGGCTTCATCAAGGCCAAAATGGAGAGGAAAAATGCAGTTTGCAAAGGTGGTTGGGCATATCTCATCTGTTTATATAGATAACTTAGTCTGAAGAACTCAGTAAGTATTTGACTCTCATTTTCTGCTTATAAAAGAAATTCTTTCCCTTAATTTCTTCAGTGTGATGCTTCTAGCTTATTCTTAGAGGTACCAGATGCAACAGTCCTAGAGATCTAGTTCTGTATTTCTGGTTCTGGCACAGGATCAGGTTCTGGCTTGACATGATAAGCAGACATGCTCACAGGGCAAGGCAGCCAGTGATAAATAGCTTTTGCAGTCAACCACATCTTAATTCAAAGTGTTGCTCAGTAAGGGGTAAAGCTCATTGAATTCTCCAAGACTGTTTCATCAATAATGGGACAGTCCCTAGGTGATAGACTTATGAAGATCACATGAGAAGATGCTGGAGAAACAGTAGATGCCTGCTACATAGACCTTGCCCCACACATGCCAGCAAAATAAAGTAGAGCCCAGCCCCCCCAAGTGAGAAGCAATTTTATCAGCTCTGCATTCTAGGGAGAATGCTGCCTGTTCTAAAGTGTCAGCACAACTCCTTTTACATGGATGATAAGATTTACATTTGGCTTTGGAAACTCCCATGATCAGAGATAAAATGCTACCACAAGGTAAGCAGGTTTTTGGAATTCTATTGCTTGGTGATCTGTGGTGGTATACTGCTCTGTTCTATCTACAGTTTCCCTCCACTGCGTGTCATGGAACATACATTCTTATCAGCTGCTCCTGGCATTTGTGAACTAAAACCAAGATAAAAAATAAAGGTATTATTTATATCATCATCTACTGAAATAACAGAAAGACTCTTCCTCAAAGGCCCCAACCAATTCTACTGAAGTTGATCTACAGGCAATGTGACTTAGGAAATATGACTAAATTAATAATGTGAATATTGAATACAGATCACATGATCTGCAAGCCCTGTAGACAACACTACCATCCTTAGTCTAGAGATTTAAGCAAGTGCTTCTGGATTACTTCAGACTTATTTTAAATAGGAAGAATGTACTTTCTCCTTCATCCTTCATATGCCCCTTTTTTTTCTCCCAGAAGAAAAGCTTAAACTGTGAATGGCAGTGAACTCCTCATGTGTGGCCCAGGAGGTGCCCACAGATGTAAGGATCTGTTTTAGAAAGAGGCATGCTTGGAGCTTGCTGAAATATGAAGGGCATAGAGCCCATTTCTGCCACTGAATTAGAAAAGAGAACGCAGAGCATGTGTATGGTCTGAGGACAGCAGCTGTAAGACTAGACAGGAACATTGCTCCCTGAATGCCCATCAGCCCCCCTCAAACAGTATCCTGGTGACAGAACACTAAATTCTGTCACATGTACAGAGAAAGAATGTTTTATGCTCTCTGCTGTTTCCTTTCTAAAATGCCTTATTCTAAAAAACACTCTAGATGGAGATTTTGTATAGCCAGGGCTTGGGCCAGCAGAGCTTTTGGGGTTCTCTAGGCAAAAGAATCACCTTGTGTCTCTCAGTCCATGAAGCTAGCACATATTCATGGAACCTTTTTTGACCATGCACCCGAACATCAGTGATCACCCCATATTGCTCTTCAGAGTCAGCATAATGTATGCTCATCTTCTCTTTAAGAGTAAGAGGTAGACCATGTCCATTAGTTGGATAGGCAATTATTAACTAGCTGTACTATATCCAAACACTCTTTGTTGGTTATAAATGCTTTGGATAGTTTGGACTTGTAACAGTCTTCATTTATATCCACTTAAATATAACTACATATACTCACAGACGTGAACTACTTGCAAGGGTGCCTGTAGGAGTTGAAGTTATAATTTCAAAATACTTCTTAGCTGTATGAAGTAGTTTGAGTTTTCTTTCAAGTAGTCATTAATATCCATTAGTCAAAAAAGTTGCCCAAAACTCTTAAGTGCAAGGAATGGAAATGTTAATTGGTAGGTTAATGCTTATTACAAAAAAAAAAAAAAAAAAAAAAAAAGCAGAGAAAACAGGGCTGAATTGTAATATTCCCAGGGATTCTAATCTAGGAGGCTTTGTTCAAATACAGCCAGCATAAGGAAATAGGTTGGAGATTTGCAGATATTTGCATGGTTCTCTTTCTGGCAAATGCAAATTGCTTAAGAAAATAAAAAGATCTAAAAATTGCATCATGTCAGATGAAAATGAGTGCCGGTGAGAGCATGATTTGCCTGCCTTGATATCTTTGCCTCTCAGTTCAGAAACAAGAGAGCTTCCTTCTGCACTTTCCTTTTATATTAAATGATTTTAATCAAAGAAACCTTAAGAAGAAGTCTCCAATTTACCTTAACTTCTCAACCTTTAATTAACTTTTTAAAAGTTAATTTAAAAAAGACAAATGAAGCTGCTGGTAGACAGGAAGATATGCACTATTCATGAGAGGCTAGTTTCTATTTTTAGCTACTTACCCAGTAATACAAGCCAAAACCCACAGAATTGTGGATCATAAATCCTGTTTCCTCCAGGACAGCCTTAAGTGGTATTAACACCCACCAGAGAACTTCGAGAAAATGAAAATTGCAGATCACTGTGTGTCAATACCTACTGCACAGCTTGACATGCACAACACATTGAGTGACTGAAAGTTAAATGAGGGAGAAGAAACACAGGAAGCTTTCTTAACTATTCACTTTTCTTTAAAAAGATGATCCAGAGCAGAATTACTCTTAAAAACAATATATTTTGGAAAATGACCAGAGATCTACAAGGATGACCCCAACTAATAATCTAAGCAATGGTGCAGAGGCTACCTTAAATGCTCTTCTCATATAATGAGATTGATGACTACCTTATATATCATCCTAGAGCCTTCATCCAGTAGCTGATGGAAGCAGAGGCAGAGATTTACAGCTAAGCACTGAGCCAAACTCCTGGAATCCAGTTGCAGAGAGGGAGGAGTGATGAGCAAAGGGATCAAGACCAGGCTGGAGAAACCCACAGCGACAGCTGACCTGAACAAGGGGGAGCTCATGAACTCCAGTCTGACAGCTGGGAAACCAGCATAATACTGACCCAGACCCACAGAATGTGGGTGTTAGTTAGGATGCCTGGGCAGTGTATGGAGCCTCTGGGAGAGGATGAGTATTTATCCGTAATATAGGAATGGACTTCAGGAGCCCATTCCACATAGAGAGACACTCTCTCGACCAAGACACATGAGGGAGGGCCTAGGCCCTGTTTCAAATGATGGGACAGACCTTAAAGATTCCCCATGGAAGTCTGCACCCTCGCTGGGGAGCAGAAAGGGGATGAGATAGGGGGCCAGTGGAGGAGGGCAGGGAGAGGGAACTGGGATTGACATATAAAACAAGATTGTTTGTAATATAAATAAAAATGTAAAATAAAAAATATTTTAATGATTATTGTTTAATTTAATGTTCAAAAAGACATTTACAGTAACTTGCCAAATTGTTTTCCAATACTGAAAACCCTTCAACAAAAAGCTGAACATGGAGGTTTTAGAGGGAGGAAAGAGAGACATGTTGTAATTATATTATAATCTCAAAAATTAAATAAAAACATCTTAAAAGAAGACAAATGGCTTTTGCCGTAAGTTTTCTCTCCTCTGTATTCTCAGATCCAGCCACATTTTCAAATGGCACAAAGAAGTTTTCCATTTCTAGAGGGATGGGCAGGTGCATTGCTTATTTTTGTGTTGTGATAAAATACTGGACAAAATCAAATGAAAAAAATAATAGTGCTGATTTTACCTCCGAGTTTCAGAGGATTCTAGATGGTTGCTATGCCCCAAGTAATTATGCAGATTTCACAGGCAGCAGAAGTATCTAGTAGAGGACAGATGCTCACATCCCAGGAGACAAGAAGCAGAGACACTGAAAGGGACCAGGAGTAAACAGCCTGGGATCCTGCACCTCATGCCCATTTCCTCCATGCATTCCCCTCTCCAGGGGAGAGGAAGTTCATGCAAGTCTTTTAGCATGGCCCTGCACATTCAATCCACAGCCACAGGCTTTCCCTTCAGGATTCCCTTCATGATCATTTAGCATGTCTGTAATATATATATATATATATATATATATATATATATATATATATATTTATATATATTTGAGAAGAAAAAAGAAATAGAAAGGTGTTTTCTTGCTGTCTATTTCAAATCCAGTTTGTTTTCAGATGTCTGCTGTCTTCTTGTCCTTGTGTGCAATCTGGAATTTTTCCTAGTGTTCTGGCCCAATTAGTAGCAGAAATAAAGTGGGTACAAATGGATACATTTGCCTCTTTTATTTCTTCTCTATATTAAGTGAAAAACTAAACAAACCCAAAACACTTTGAACCTTAACAAGGATAGAGGAAGTTTTCATTGAATAGGATACTATTTTATGCAGTAACTTTTAACATAGACTCTTGAAGACATCACATTTCAAAGAGCCATCTCCAAACTGTGGTGATAGCAAACTACCACACTATTA